CACTCTTTCTCTAAGAGTTGAACATACATGCACAAGCCCGAGCACACACAAACACCGAAACAATCAAGGTATCAAAACGAAAGAGCGTACACAAAACACACACATAATCCCAGTGAAAGCTGTAGTTGTAATGAGCGAGTTCTTAGTGTGGGGGTGGCAGCATACTCACAGACTCTCATCAGGAGACAGGCTATCCGTGAAGAATGAACAATTCTGGCTCTCCATTTCTGCCAGTCTGTATACATATACATATATACACACACACGTATACAAACAGACAAACAAGAAAAACACAGGATACAGTGGTTGAGTTAGAGCAAGTGCAGAAAAAAGCAACAGTAACATGTTGATATTATCACACACTGGGGAAAGATGCTTCCTCAAACACAAGATAAAAACAAACAATCAGTGCAGTTTAGCCTTTAACTAATGAGAATAAGACCTGTGGCCTTTTAGTATTACGGACTGAAACTGAGCCAGCTGTCCAAAAACATCTAGACTGCAGACTGGCAGAAATTCTTCTCTCCACAGAGTACGAGCTATAAACTGATAAAATACTGTACACCGTCTACCAGCATGCAGGCAATAAAACAGCCTTCAAAAATGTGCTGTTGTCCAGCACCACGGACAGCAACTGTGTGTGTGTGTGTGAGTGCCAGGAGGCAGCGAGTGAGCTGCTGTGTGGCTTTTCAGGACCAAGGACAGCGCTTCTAGTTCTGCATTATGTCCTGCTGACTGTCGGTGGACTGTGCACGCTGCTCTGTAAGCTGTTTCACTAGTATAACAAATAAAAAATGCTGCAGTAGGGGAAAAGAGTTTTGAGTTAAAAATACATGTTGCTTATAGTGGTTTAGGTTTGGTGACATAAGAAAAACTTACAGCTGGAAAAATCATATCACTGCCTGAGAAAATGGTACAGTGTCCTTGAGCAAAGACACTGAACCCAATTGCTCCCAGTATTTAGGCCAGTGTCTTGCATGATAGCTTGCTGCCATCATGTGCGTGAGTGGGAGGCAAATTGTAAAGTGCCGCATACACTCTTACAATGTACAACTACTTTCCTTTAATAGAGCCGGCATCTTACTTGCTAATTTGGGTGCACTACTGCATTTTTTGTGTTTTATGGCAAATAGTAATATACTAGGGCCCAGTCACACTCTCCTTACAACAATCATTGATAGTGCTATCGTTCTGTGTGTGTGTGTGGGTGTGTTTGTTTGACCAGATCATTATTTAATTCACTGTAGGAGCATGTATGTGTTTTAACACTACTCCTGACTTTCGCTCTCCATCTTTCACCTTTTCCTTCTCCACCTACATGCACAGCTTACACCTGAATATATGAGGCCACCCACATGCTCTGACACCTATTAAAAGGAAACGTAGGAAAGACATGATCTAAATGAGATGCAGGTTGAGACAAGTTGAGTGGAAGTGCAGCTCACTGAATATCACATGCTAATGATATATAACAGTGTTAGATGATCAAAGAGTGTGTTTCTCCTTCAAGCAGCGTAGACAACCTACCCACTGATGCCAATGTGCTAGGAGCCTTGTGACTGCCCACAGACATTCACACACACACATGCCACATGAAAGCTAGTCTTAAATCTACACTGCAGCAAACACACAAGGCACACCCCATGCTGCATCATCTTTCGCAGAATGTCGTCAGCTGAAGGAGTGAGGGATGTGAGGAGGAGGGGTGAGTGATGTAGAGGCTGTCAGGGACATCCACACTACATCCTATTTCTCTCCGGTGTCCAATGAGACCATAACACAGAGAAACTTAGGATTTATCCATGTCCTGTTACAGGAGGCCAGGCCTGTGAACCCGACCGCTCGTAATTCATTCTGTGACACTATTCATCAGAAAGCCTCCACAAACCTGCAGTCTCAGTCAGGGACAACAGCAAATGAGAAAAGAAAGGGCAGAAAGTGATAGGAAATAGTAGTGTGGGTGTATGTCTGCATGTGTGCCTGCGTGTATTGTGCATACATGTGTGTTAAGCTTCCTGTATGAATGTAAATAGATGTGAGAGGAAATGAGAAACTGGAGAAAGAGAGTGAGGGTAAGAGAGGAGAAATTCTAACAGATAAGAGGTTTTTATTATCTTCTTCTCATCCATCCTCTATAAGATGTCGAAGCAGCGCAGATGATGAAAGGAATGAACTCTACTCCTGCATCAATGTGGGGGGAGGGGTGGGGGATGCAGAGGGAAAGAGAGAGGGGAAGAGACAGAGGCTGTCTCTGCGTTTGACATGTCTATGTATTTGGCTTTCCTAACCCCAAACATCAAATAGTTTATCTCCTTTGAGATGCCACGGATTAACACATATACCCCTCAATGCTGAAGGGCACTTAGACAGGTGTGTGTCGGAGTCTGTGTGTGCGTGTGTGTCAAATATGTGAACCCAAAGGCAAGGATTTCAGAAAGTGGCCTGCCAGTGATGACATCCAGTATTTTGATATCAGCTTGACTTTCCATTAGCGTTCAAAGTGAGTGGTGAGTTACGATTAACGCGGGGAATGAATTCAAATTAGAAATGGGATTTCTTCCTTTATATCCTATATTAACTGACAGGTAGAGAGGTGGGAAAGGGAGAGAGAGACAGAGAGAAAGAGAGAGAGAGAGAAAAAGAGGAAGAGAGACAGATAAAATACTCAACATTCCCATAATAAGGACTGTCTACTCCTATTACGATGGTGCTCAGATCAGTGTGCTCCCACACTTCTCTTTTTTTATTCATTTTCTGATGGTATAATGTATTTATGGCACGCTGGAACAAAGTAATACTGGTCAATGAACGACACACGGAAGGGAGGGGGGGCGATGAATCATAGCGTTTTTGTAAAATAAAAACAATGCCTCTCATCTCTTTGCCAGACTACCATGCCAGGCACTGGTCTAACCATCAGGAGCAATATTGACATGTTGACATGAAGAACCAGGGGCTGAATTGATCAACAGCATGCAGTCCAATTCAACACAACTAGTCTAATCCAGTTGTAAGCAAAAATAAGAACATTTTAAAATTACATTGATGTAGCTGTAACTCCTCCTGTGAAAACATCAATAGCTGGTGTATCCAAGTATAAATGAATGACATGAAGATATACAAGTAGACAAATGAACAGCGTGTTATAAAGCACTTCACACTAGATCTTTAACAAGCAATTTTAAAAAGATAAGTCTGGTGACATTCTATATTTTTCTTACTGTCAACAAATCACATGAAAAAACCAAAACTAACACTGAATTAATCTTAATATTGTTGTCTAGCAAAGTCTTATGCAGCTTATACAAGCCTCTGAGCCACAGAGCTCCATTGTTGTCCAAAACTATTAAAAACACATCAGTGAGCCACACTGTTGCGCCGGGTGACATGTTTCATTATGATGAATATGGGCGCTGTAGTTTATTTAGAGTTAATCCGTCATACACAATCCTGTTGCCAAAAATACTCATAGCTCATCAGATCCGTGGCTTAAAACAGCCCCCAACAAAATCGCTGTTTATTTGCTAGAGTCACATTTGCTAAAAACGATATATTTATGTTTTCAAAGTCACTAGTGAAGTCACAAAGTGTAATAATAACAACAAAGATAACAAAAATACAGATGAATCAGAAAACTGTTAATAAAATAATATCAGAATCCAAGACATATCACTGTAAGAATACAATTTTGTTATGTAAGCATTCATTATCTGTTTTTAAACCAGTAACAACTGCTTCATATAAACTTTATGTTATCAACAAATGAATACACTTTAACTGTCTGTTAATATCTGCTTACAACTACATTGTGTGCTATGTGTTACAATAAATTCATTATTATTATTCATTGTATAGAGCTTCTAAAAGACAGTATTTGAAAGCATAGCCCAATGATCGTAGGTTTTGTTTAAATTTCGAAAAGACCCTTACTGACATTCTTACGCACAAAAAAATGCTTGAGAGACAACGACGGCTTCCTGACTTGTTTGCTATGAGTAAAGTTGCTACCATAAAACATTCCTTTTTTGGTATTATGCTGGTTAAGTGACCAGTGACAGAGCTGTTTGAAGAAAATTGTACTGTAATTAGCAAAAATGAATTAACGTAGGAGCGTGTAACGGAGACAATATTAAAGAATGGAGAGGAAGGAGAAATGGCTAGATGAGAGAGAGCAAGAGAAAGGAAAAGGGGGAGAAATAAATGTGTGGGTAGGAGACAATAGAAGAGAGGGATCAAAGATGAGAATTAAAAGAGAAAAGGCAAGCAGAACCAGGAGAAAAAGGGAAAAAGAGAAAGATAAAAGGGGTAAAGAGGACAATTGTGCCTGCTCTCTTGTTGGTGTGTGTTCCCTCTGTTTTGGCAGTTGTGTGTAAGAGCCTCAGGGAAGTAATACACAATGGCACACTTACAAGCACACACATACACACTGCAGGCTCAGTGGAAATGTGTGTGTGTCCAGCCCTGCAGTACTGTGGGCAAAGCTGCCAGGAGTGTGGGAGTCCAGTCTGTGCCCTGTTTATAACCTATCAGACAGACACTAATCCACACCAACAGCTCCCAGGTGACCAATGGGCTCACACTGCCCCAGCAAGTGACAAGCCGCTAGGCACGCTGAACCCCACTGACCTCGACACACACAACAACCACAGAGTGCTCTGCTTGTGTGCACCAGTGTGTGTTTGTGTGGATAGCAAGCATGAAGGAAACTGCTGGGCAGTACAGTCTCTACCCTGGCTGGAGTACAGTACACAACACAGGCAAATCAATACTTCAATCAGTGTGAGGCGAAGACTAAAGGGTGAGGGGGCAGAGGAGGCAGGGGAGGAGAAGAGGTAAAGGCAGGGGTGGAGTGAATATAAAGAAGAAGAGGGGATGGGGGTGATTTGGAGAGTGGAAAGTGAGAGAAGGAGAGCCATTGTTGCAATGATTTGATGTACAGCACAGCACAGCGAGCCACATACCTGCTGGCATAATGTTCAATCCTGCTGTGTGTGTCTGCATGGGGCAGCCTGGGCGAGGAGCACGGCCTGGGAACAACAGAAGCCAACATTAATGCCTCACCAGGGCATTTTTAACACTCTGCAAGTGTGACTGTGTGATGGCAGAAAGAAAGCCAAATCTGACTCCAATTCACACATATTTGCTTAAATCCATTGAGGGGGAGAGTTTTATTTGTGAACATGGAAAACTCTCTTGTTAGGATGCAAACATGAGAGATTTGATTTGTTTCACAGTGGAGGACATTAAGTACATTCATGTACTACACTTACATGCACATTTATGTTACTTGCTGTACTTCCCTAACATTTTGAGGTACTTGTACTTGAGTATTTCCATTTTATGCTACTTTCTACTCCTACTCCACTACGTTTATTTGAGAGCTTTAGTTTCTTTGCAGATTAGAATTTTACCCTATATACTATAAACTATACACTGGTCTTAAAATATTCTTTTCATTTCTATTGATTTCCAACATTTGTGTCTTAATTATGTCTTAAAGCCAAACAATGCTTACTTATGACCCTTCATTACAGGCTGCATATGTCTATGATCTATGAGTAGATGTGAAGATGGATCATATAGGTCTACTAAGAGCTTTTCTAATGAGGCAGAACATGAGTTGGCTATTCACATCAAGAATATTTAGTATGCAATAGCATATCATCATGTTAAGGCAAATCGTGGATTGACATGGAAAATTCTGGGAAAAGATTTCCATTGCACAGGGAAGGAGACACTGGAATTATTCATTAAATACAACTGAATGTTGAACTTTGAAGAAATGACTATATCTTGGTTTCTATGATGCTAAGGTACTTCAATGGTTTTTATGATGTATATTCATATATGCTGTAATATGGAATTGGCAACGACCAAACCCAGTCTACCCAGGGAAAGACAGCTATTAACAGGGCATAGGCAATTTAAACATCTACATTCCCTTTTCTCATTCTGATGAAGACATGCTTCATGTTAGGTGGTGCGCCTTATTAAAAAGTTCTTATTATAACTATGTGCTCCAAATCTCAACACTACAGATCCTGCCTCAGTTGTCCTGTCTGGTTTGAGCACCTTCATAATTATTCTCTCTGTAGTTCAGCCAAAGAACTATATTATAGATTGTTTAATTTAAGAGTTTTTATTCATATAGAGGTAAAACTTTCCAACATTTCCAACCAGGAGAAAGCTTAGATTTGAGAAACATTTTGAAAAGGTAAACACAATTTAATATTTCAGACATGTCTTTTATTCTACTTTATCTTGTTAATAACTTCATTACCTCTCAGATTTATCCTAAAGCTCACTTGAAAGATCCCCACGCTGGAAACCCCTGTAGTAAACTACCCCAAGAGGTGTATTAAAAAGTTACAATCCGCTCCATTTCAACCAGCTACAACATTAAAATGTTAATATACACTAATAAAATAAATATATTTATACATATATACAGTAAAATATACAATGATAAAATAAGCGTGAGGATATTTATATGTATTAATATAATAATATTAGGGATCATTCTGCATAATGAGTGCTTTTACTGATACTTATGTCTGTTTGGCTTCCAACACTGGAGTCTTATCTCTGCTTTGTGTCAGTGGATGGAAGGATTAAGTTATGTAATATTTTAGGTTATAAAATGTGACCTTAACAGTGACACAATCAGCCATAACATAGCCCTAAGCTATGCTTCTTGATGATCTCATGGATTTTACTCTCTTACGCTCATGTTTTTTCCTTTGGGAGAGGTTCACTCATGTGAACAGAGCATCTGATCCAAACTGAGATCACAGGAATAACATTATGTTAATTCTGAACACAGAGCTGTCCCTTTAACCCATCTCAGCAAGTTAGAGGGCCCAAAATTGTGAGAAAAAGTGAGAGACAGATGACAGAGAAGATATGTGTGTTTGCGAGCGTTTCCGTGTGTGACTCACGTCTCCGAGCTCTCTGCTTCCAGCACAGATTGCACCGGCAGGTAACCTCTCTGAGGGTGCTTGGTGAAGTACTGCTTTGACCTGAACTTATTCTTCAGAGTCTTGGCAAAGTCCCTCATCTTCTCTCCCGAGGTTGTCTGGAGTGTGATTTAGAAGGAGAGGAGTTTGGGGGGGTTGAAGGAAGGGTAACAGGTGGTGGAGGCAGTAAGAGTGGATGGGAAGGAGACAAATTACACCCCTTAAGAATTCTTGAATTACCTCATCTGAGATTTTTTCCCACTTTGTCTCGACACTGGTTTGTCTTATTTTGACTATAGATGACTAACTTATTCCTCCATCTGCTTTCTGATTCAGTTTCTGCTGCTCTCTCTGCTGTTTCGAATCTTCCTATTCTCTCTCTGGCTCTCTATTTCCTGCTCTCTCTCTATCATAGTAGAAATCTGTGGGCGCCTGCCTGCTTTACCGCTTTGAAGAACTATTGCTGACTAATATAAAATATTGTCCAGTGAAAAAAAACATTGTACAGATGGCCTTTTGCCATATTTTACAGCTTGGAATTGATTAGAGATTAAATCTGGCACCATCTCAGTACACTCCAGCTACAGCTAGTCATTTGGAATTAACTCGACTTCGGAGACTCTGCGTGCAAATGCTTAAGACTCTGGTTTTATTGAGGTTTAGTCCACAATGTGTGCTCCAAATAGCACTTCATGCGTGCACTATGTGAGCCAGAGAGGATGTTACTGCTGAGTGGTACTCAATCTCTGCATACTATAGAGCTAGACCAGGCGGTGTAAGCATACATTAACATTATAGAGATGATGGAGATTTTGCAGCAGAGAGGAGGCTAATCTAGCTAGTCTGGCAGCAGGAATAAGGAGATAGTAGCATTTTTGTTGGAGTACAGCTGAGTTTTATTTATCCCTGGAGCCTTGAATTTTTGTATTCAGTTAAAGCACTTGATAATCTTTGTCTTACCGGGGTGTAGTACTCCATGATGGGGTAGTGCAGCTTCTTTCCCTTGGTAGTACGGCCGGTTAGAAAACATGTCTGGCAGATGTCCACATTGAACTGCTTCAGACTGCGATACCTGTCAAGATCAATATAACACAGAGGCTGAGCTGATGTTTGCAAGAGAACTGGGCAGAGTAGGGGGGTGTGCATGTGTTCAGAATAAAGGGTTTATGTGTGTCAAAAATATATGCTTATCATGCTTTTTTCTGCTTCAGACAGGGATGTACTCCATTACAGCCACCTGTTAATTAAAATTATAATTAGTAACTGTATCTATGTATGTAACTGTTGTGATAAATTATGTAATGTGATTACTTTATGCTATTTGCCTTCTGGTAAATGTATAAAATACAGATAAAAGAAGGTGCATTCAGTACAGTATATTCATGCCAGATTCTATCAGCATGAAGAATTTTGCATAATTACAAGCATCTGTACACTGAAGTTGGAATATCTTTTAAGTAAAGTTGTCAGGGAAGCTTGCCTCAATAAATGGATATTACTGTACAGACTGGAGTGTGCCGCTGCTCCTTTTATTATTATACACTGTATCTTAATTCTAGTGTCTCCTACAAGCTGTTATCTAGTGAGAAAAGATTCTTATGTATGATGAAAACACCAGCTGCCACTATTAAAACGGATTTCTTTGCTTCTCTTTCAAAACGTTCCCACAAGAAAATCCATTAAACTTTTCAATTTTATTTAACATGTGTATTTGTGTTGTGTATGTGACTATGTTAACATTCATACCAGTCATGTTAACAACGTTTTCATTTATATCATTTTTTCTTTTCTTTATATGGGATGTTGCAATAGCCCACTGTGATTACTGTGATTAAGAGTGAATATGTCATGCTATGTTACTTATAAATGTATGTGAAATACATACACTGTGTTCCAAATTATTATGCATATACTGTTTGTTCTTTTTCTTACTAAATAGGTCGGTATAATTGGCAGTCAATAGGATTTTTATTCCTCAACAATTATATCGTAATCTGGATTTTATTAAACACAATGACCAATGATGACAATGGCATTTTTTGCAAAATAACTCAAAATTCAGTGTTCCAAATTATTATGCAAAACAGAGTTCAAAACACTTAATAGTTTCTAAAGGTTTGTTGGGGTTTTTGCCATTATAGGGGATAATTTCTCTCCAAATCAAAGCCAATTTAAATCAAAAACATCTTTAAAGATCAAGTTACATATTAACATAGGAACCCTTTTTGGATATTACATTAACAACTCTCTCCTCTATCTATTGAACTTGTTAGTCCATGTACAGTTTCTGCCCTGTATTTTCCTTTGAGGATGCCAGAATTGCCTCCCAGAGCTGCTGTTTTGAGGTAAACTGCCCACCACCCTCATAGAAGCTTCCTTTTAAGGATGCTCCACAGGTTCTCAAATAGGGTTGTGAGTCAGGGAGATGGGGTGGCCACACCATGGATTCTTTCTCCCCTTAATGGCCCATAGCAGCCTAGGCCTTGAATGGCGTATTTGTTGCAGGCATGGGAATGGTGCGTTGTCTTACATGGATAAATGATTTTACTCCGGAAGGAACTCCACATATTTTGCAGAGGGTCATTTTGACACCTTCAGGCACCTTAAAGGGGCCTACCAACTCACTCCCCATGGATTCCATCCCAAAACATCCCTCCACCCACCTCCTTGCTGACATCGCAGCCTTGTTGGGACATTGGTGGCCATCCAGAACTCCATCCATTCTGGACCATCCCATGGTAGCGACAGGCAATACATCAGTGAATAAAACTGCTTGAGACAAGTTAGTCCTCCATGTATTTCTGAGGCCCACTGCAATCATGTCTCCCCTTGTGTGGCCATTGTTTAAGGGGTGGCCGGAAATACAGTCTTATGCACATCAGCAAGCCTCTGGGAGGATCCTGCCATCAAGGAGAGGTTTTTGGGACTCCAAAGGCACCAGCAGCTTCAAATTACTTTTTTTTTACTTACTCATCAGTGGCTTTTTCACAGCTGCTCAGCTTAATTTATTATGAATTAGCCCTACAGAAACTTTCTTTAACACGCTTTTATCTGCAACGAACCCGTCTGCGCTCTGAATCAGACACAAATCTTTTCAGTAGGACCCATGAGCTCCTTCTTAATATTTCGTAAAAATATCCAGTGGTGTTCACTAACTATTGAAAGAATACCTGCACTATTTCACGCTTTTCATCTGCACGAAAGATATTTTTTCCCCTATATTGCATAAAACCTGTGACTTGCTTAGCAATGTGGAAAAACATCCTTAAGTAGTTTCCCATTAATTAGGCTCACCTGACAAACTAATAAAGACAAAACTGGTCTGAGATTGAATGTCAGTGATAATAAACAGACATGGGAAAGCAGCACAAAAACTTCATTGAAAAACAAAAAATCAAATGGTTTTTTTAATTGAAATCATATTTGCATAATAATTTGGCGAACAACCAGTGTAAAGTTATTCTGCGTGACCAATTAGCTACACTGGCAGGCCTACCTGAAGCCCTTGATGGGACACTGTTTGCAGACGTAGCATTTGGCCTGGTGCTTGGTCGACTCTGCAGCAGTCACACGTTGAAGGACAGGCAGCCAAACCATTGACTGGGGCTCCAGGCTCATCCACTCCAGGAAGTGAGACACCTCAATGGCAGGTTTACCTGGGGCCTGAAAAAAGCAAAGTGGGGGGGATAAAAGAAGTGCAAGAGACTGTAAACAATCCAAATATAGACCACCAGCAAGGCAGATACATAAAGTAATGAGAGGAGAAGGTGTGCTTCCTTTCCAAAGGTAGTCCAGCAGCGAGCTAGTTGTTTTTTAATCAAAGAGAATACAAAAGATAAGAGAAGGAAGGAGAGGGTGAAAGATGTTCTACACCGTGGGATATCTTTTGCTTTTATGTAACTACTTGAACAATTATAAAGCTGAAACACAGCAGGCATAAATTATGCTTCTGTGAGTATACTGTACTGCATGTATGTTAATGTACTGCAGACTCACCTTGTTGAGAATTCCAGAAAGTGGGATAAAAAGGAAGTCAACCTAATAAAAGAATGACTTGCACTGAAAATCCGTGATGTGCTAAATTCTCATTAAGTCTGCATCAGAGATGCATTAAGAGGTTGATTTCCCTGGGGCTTCCTCCAAAGTAGCATAATAAATGTGTGTGTGTGTGTGCACTGATCACACAGACTGTGAGGTGTACAGAGGTACAGAGTCTCCTGGGGATGAAGGAGCTCCTCTCTGGAAGTAGAGTAGCCAGCCTTGCTCCATGTGGGAGGTCAAATAGCAACCCCTCACGTACTGAACACCTGGAACTGGCGCTGACTATGCTGAGCACGCCACTGCATCTCAAAGCAGCACGCTGAGCAGATGGGGTGCTTTGAACATCATTGGAAAAGTAGAGTGATAAACATTCAGTCATCCATCATAGCACTGTGCTTTCTGAACTATATATCCACTAAACGACATGTGTTTCTGAATCAAACAAATCAAACTAACAATACATAAAATATTTGTGTTTTAGTGTTGAGTTAAGCTGTGCACAGACCTACATCTTCAGCAAAATCATAGTGTTCTGTATAACCACCTTACTCTGCATATTCTCTGCAAGTCAATCCATCTGCTTCACTGCTAGCAGTCTAAAACTCCGTGTCTATGTGAGGTGGCAGCAAATGCTGTACCCACATCTCCACAAAATGATGTCACTCATTTCCAAGCCTAGTGATAAACAGGCAAATGGGTCACCCCTCCAGTTCACATTACATGGATATTTCATCTACAACTAAATGCCCTGACATGGAGCAAATGGATAAATGAATTGATTTTAATCAGCTGTAGCTGATACAGGAAGCACGTACCAGAACAGAGTATGTATAATTAGGATCTGACTCGAAAATGAGGGAATTAAAAGGCTTTGCATGGGCCACCTTCCAAAAAAGCTGTGGCCTGCTCCTGACGACTCCCTAATTACCTGGTGTCCCGAATTGAATGTCATTAGGTGAAGTTCCTGCAACCTGCGCCAGACGCACATATTCAGACGCATACAGAACAAGCAAAGGAGGGAAAGACAAATTAATTCATGCTTTGTGTCTTTCTAATGTGTCCTCATTAGCCATTTCTCTGTGCGCTGCTGGACCCTTCCTCATCCTATCAATATTTCAAGATCATATTCTAGGAGCATTTAAACTTCTTTGATTTCACCTACAGTCTATATATGGTTAGTAACATCATGCATTATCTACCACTGACTCCATTTTGTGAGCATTAAAAGCAATGCAATGCAATTTTAATGTAGTTTAATGTTTGTAAGGAAACATTGTGAGTATGTGTGGAGCAATTGGGCCTTCTTTAGGGGGAATCATTATAACTTCTCAATTTCCTCTTCCTCTGAAGGAAAGTCGAACTGTGCTGATGTCAGTAAAACACAATGGGATTCACATAACTGGCTGCTTCCTAGTGTGACATCATACTTTTTTCATGCTAGACTTGTGATGGAAAGCATCCAAAGCCAAATGTTTGATTTTGCCATTCATTTTTTAAGTTTCTGCCTTCAGAATTCTGTTTCTGTTTTTATTATACTGTCTTGGCACAGACTGTTCTGATTATCTGGAGGTCACTCATTATTTTCCTGTAATTAATAGATTAGCAGGTTTGAAATACATCAATATTCTGTAATAGCATCGTTTTCAAGATTGATTTCTGATTTCTCATTGGGGGCAATCATGCCATTGATTCACGCACTGAAAGTGGCACTATTAAGTCAAGTGATGGTCACTCTCTCACTTGCTTCAAGTGTGCATATGCTGCTAGTTTAACAGGGACATCAGGCAACTGAAATCCCCAAGAACTTCAGCTGCAGTAGTTGAATCTTGTAACTGAAATAAAAAATATATCACTGCGAGAACAGTGTTTATCTGGTCAAATGCGGTAAGGTGAACTCACAACATATTCCACACAGACTCTTCTAGTCCATTGTATGTGTGTGCAAGTGCGTAGCAAACTATGCACACAACATTGGCTATAAATATGTTAAGGCATGAAATGCATTGCGGTGCCTCTGCCCTCACCACACGGAAGCAGCTGCGGACGCTGGGCTCCACATTGCTGCCCCCAAAAGCAGCAACTTCACCCAACTGGCGGGGGATCTGGATGGCTTCATGGAGCAGCAGGCTGAGGTGACGCTGGTCTGTCAAACCTCCCTGGCCAGACACTTGACGGAATAAGTCTGCAACCATAAGAAAACACATACAGTAATGTATCAATTATGCAGTAACTGATCTGATTATACACCAGTGTGTACCTGCATTACGTGTACACTGCATTTGTATGCATGAAAAACAAGTACATGCACATGTATTATCAACACAGGCATTTTCTACATCTGTGTGTGGTACCTTGTCTGCAAAATAAAAGAATAGTATGAACACAAAAACTATATGTTGGGTTTGTCAATAGAACAGCAACATCTGTTCATTTGATTTTTAACAATGAGCCTCGAATCCCAGGCAACAGGTTCACCAAAAATAGTTTTGTGAAATAAAACTTACTTCACTGACATATAGACAGAGACAGAATCGGTATTAGTGGCCTGGTTGGTCTGCTTGGAGATGAAAGAGCTGCATAAGTGGAGTCTTGTCAGGTTTTGAATGAGGTCTTTACCAAGCAAGCCGGGACTCTGCCTGTCACTGAGAAGATGAATGCTGACAGGCGTGTGAGGGTGCTGCACAATGCTAGTATTTGCATCCCATGTATCCCCCTCTCTGTGTACTCATTCAACCCTACAGGGACAACACTTTAACAGCTGCATGTTAAACAGCCTCCTCTATATAGTTCTCATAACCAGAGCTGATGTGTGTATGACACTTTGAATGCTCACATTGAGCTGTTTGATAAAGATGAGTTTTGGAAGTGTTTTATGGAGAAATACAGGAGTATATAGACCTATTACATAAACATGCAGCTTGCAGTGTTGCAAGCGCTGCAGTGAGATAATGGTACTCCTGAAGTTAGCTGCACACCCATCGCGAAGTTTGTTTGCCTTTTGTCCTTAATAAGTTCAGTAATTACTAGCTAGTATGAAACTACCTCTTTACTATATTGGGATTTCACTCAAAATGTTTTACAGCCACTCTAGATGCTCCCTTGCTTTGAGCTAAATTCTAAATGTCTGCATGCTGAAGAGCTCACAATGACAATGCTAACATGCTGTTGTTTACAAGGTATTAATCAGAGGCATCACCAGCAGAGGGTGTTGCACAAAGCACAAGGACCTATAGAATATCACACAAAAAAAGCTATTTTTGGTTCCAGCTGGGAACCATCTTTTCAGGTGCAGAACACATTCATTTGTAGGTGAAATGCTCCGAACGGTTTAAAACTAGCTGCTTGAATGGGAGTAAAGTCATAATCTGCAACTATTTCTCCCCTCAAATATATTCAGACACCAATTTTGGTGGATAATTATGGAGGACTGAAAAAGTGTTTTTCTGATGTGAAAATTAGAAGCAGGAGACAGTGACAGAGCAGTAAGTGGTGCATTTGTAAAATTAAGCGTGAAAGCAGTATGTTAATGTCTGCAAAATGTTCAGAAACAATTGTTAAATACAATCAATCTAATATTTGTGTCTACTATGAAGTCAAGTAATTAAACTACTTTTGAAAATAGTTTGACAAACATATTCCTTTTTTGAATTACAAGCCAAAGACTGGTGATGATGAAATAAACACCCACCATCTGTATTTCAAAGCAGGTTGATGCAAATGCTTCCCAATTATTGTGCAAATATTATTCTAGTGGCGTCTAGAGTTAGCAAAAATGGATCAGTCACAGAAATGACAAACTGTTGAGGCCACCACATGTCTACCTGAACCCAGAAAAAGTGGACTGACTCACCTCAGGGACAATTCAATTGAAGGCAAATCTGTTAACTCTCAGTCTTTAAGACTTGATGCAGATGGTGTGCCAGACATGAATAATCCTGCCATGGGTTTGGCCATGTTGTCTCAGATCCTGTATCAACTACATGCTGTTCCAGGTCCAACTATTGTCCCTTCAAATGCTCACTCTCCATTTTATCATTTGATCATAAACTGGGGTGACAATGGATCAGTAAAAATATATCTCAGACTGGAACGGCACAGTAATAAAAATATTACAGCATAATTTATAATCGGAAAAGGAAGGAGGGAGTGCCTTAGCTCTTTGCTAGTTGACTTGAGAAGAAAAATGAAAGCAAGGGCTATAGAAAGAGCGTGCATGAATGGTGTATTTGGCAAGCAATCCTTTTAAAGGCCCCCGGTGTACTTTGTAGAAGTAAAGAAAGCTTCCTCCATTATGGCAGCACAGTCATTTCCTCCATTAGACTAAGTGGATGTCTTTATGTAATACTGGCAATCAGGACCGTTTTGTTTTGGCTCATTGTTTGCAGTTGAGGAGATGCATTAGGCACATGAGCGAGCATCAGACTCACATTTGTACTTCTCTTGGACGTCTGCATTGCACAAGCTCACCAATCCCATCTTGAAGCTGAGAACTCGCATTTTTCCATTTCGAGCACTAGTGGAAAGAAAGAGAAGAAATTAAAGAAGTTACAATTTTTGAATGGTGAATTATCTTAAATCTTGGTGTATTTTGCCATGGTAATATATTCATACACCGGCTGAGTCCTGCTGTGTGAGAGAAAGTGTGGAGGAATTACGTGGGTCAAAGCAGTACAGTACAGGTCAGTGCAATAGTGTGAAATTGTATTAGAGCACATCTAGAGTAACTAAAGGCACTACAGGAAGTGGATGAAATGTTGTGTCCATGACTTTATGCCCAGAAGAGCAATAATAATCTCAAATACAACACCGTGTCACTTACAGGCAAACACATGCATGCATACTGCATAAACACACTTAAGAACACGCACTCAGAATTGCTTGTCCCAGCTGAATATATAGTCTGATCACTGGCCAATGGCAAGGGCAGTGAGATGGACGCTGTTGTGTCCTGACCTGAGCCCAAAAGGGACACATTAGAATTTTTTTTCCTGCTTGAAATAAAAAAGAGGGTTATGGGGAAGCCACAGTGGAAAGATTGGATTTGAGAGGCGAACACACCATCACTGTTCGAGATTTTGTGACTCCGGTGCCAACACAGCCAGGAAGAATTTAGTGCAGAGCTGAGCAGCACTGGCAGAAGCCACAGGCTTATCTAATTAACATTTGAATCATTAAGTGAGAAATCAAGAACAGCACATCAGAGAACATCAGATCAATGACGTATAAAAAACTGAATCAAAGAGCACGTTAAATTTCCAGAGCTGGATTTCACTTTGATTGTATATGAAAAACATGGTAGGGACACTGTTTTTTAATTTGCTGACAGGTCAGACCTTGAGGAAGTGAAACATTAGGCCTGACCATGAGAGTCATGTTGAGAAAATTAGAGTAACACACAGGAGAAGCAATATGGCGAGAATTACTGTCTTTGCCCCTATTAGATTCAGAGCTAGAGCTGGTCCAGAGGAGCTGGAGAGCACATGGGGACGACTGGCTGTCAACACCTTTCACACACACTTCCGCTGTGTGTCGCATGCCATTTTCAATATGCACCCCAGTGCTGCTCCTCGGGGGACACGTCACTTCTGCACAACCTGCTAGTGTGACACGCCTCTGAAACACAAACACACGCACACACGCATTCTGTGATATACTGTAATGCACATTCACTGGCACAAACACAATTAAAACACATGCATTAAAATGACGCACAAACATACACACTCAGATTCACTGCCAGTGTTTATTGGAAAACAAAAAGCAATTACTGAAATTTATGCAGAGGGTAAAGTCTCTGATTGTCTCTCATTAGCAGCGAGTAGTTAAACCCGAAATTACAGCACTTGTAGGGTTATTCCTGTATTTCTGTGTCTGTGCTCAGTGTTTTCTCTATGGAGAGAATAGTCAAACAGGAGCAAAGATGGGGTGAGCGTTGGTGTGAAAGAGGATTTGTGTCTGCTGTGTCTCAGAAGAGATGATTGGCCCTCTGCCTGGACATTGTTATTGGAGCTTTAGCCTCTTTATAGGTATCTGTACAAGTGGCCATTGAACCTATTATATTGATATGCAGTCAGGTCTAGGGTTGCAAGAGCTAAAAATTGTTTTTACATTACACAGAGTCTTTGTGTGTATGTCATATGTATTTACCTACAGCTCTATTGTTTTAGAATGACATTGTGTTTACATTTAGTATTTAGTTCATTTCTGTGAGGACATTTTTAAAGTTTACATTATTATGTGATATCTAAACTTTGAAGACCTTAACACAAGCTACATACTCATAGCCTTTACTCCCTGTTAAACATGCCTCGCCCTGCGTTAGAGAAGTACACAGTTAAAGCTAATATAACAATGACAAAGTGTCCGAAAACAATAAATTTTGCAAAAAAGAAAAAAGAAGCCTATTAAGTATGTATGAGAGTAAAAAAAATATATAAAAAAATATTCACAGGAAAAAATTTGCTCAAGATTCATCCAAATCGCTCATTTTACAGAAGCTTCCTGCAGCGGGAACTACTGCTGTAGAAGGTATGCTCATTAAGTATCAACTCAGACAATAAGAAAACAGATAGAAATAGGAATCCACCAGAGGGAAGCGCACAGTCCAGATTTGAGAACGTCAGCCATTTGTAAAGTAACGAAAACATGACAAACACTGTTGGAACCTTGTCTACATATAGTGTATGCCTGGCACTAATACAAAATCTATGATAAAAAAACTTTATGAGCATTACATGACATGTGATTTAAAAGAGTACTGCAGCGATTCAGCACTGTAAAAGAAAAGTAGGATCAAAATCGATGCAGCAGAACCTGAAACATCATCCTTTTTATTCAACAGATTCTTCTTACTAGTCCAGACCTGCAGCCTGCATTACCCTCAGTGCAACTCGACTGCCCACACTTTAGTCAGAGATTTGGTGTATTATGCTACTAGAGGCTAGTAGTAGCTTGGAGCAGCTGATCTCAAGCAGAGGTCTTGTAAGATAACTTCTTTCTAACTCAACAACTCCATTTTTTTTCTCCAATTTTAAGCTTTTTTTTTGGTTTGTGAATTCACTGGAGACAATTTATCCCTCCAGAACCACAAAAGGCAAACTGACTTTAATGCATTATATTGTCATGGTTCCCCTTTAATTAGCCATGTAGGTCAGTGTTAGATATGATAACAGTCAGGATAATGTCTTAACAATTAACTTTTATCTCATCATTTTGGTTTTCAGGCTGCACATTGGCTGTGTGGTCAGCATCCTCAACTCAGTATAAATCAGCCAACTAAAATCTAAAAGGCAAATTGTCAGGTGGCAAGAAACACAACTCCAAAGAGACACTTATGTTGCTCTTCTGGATGTGTAGGGAATAACTTCATTAGCCACTGGTGAATGAAAGCTGAGTTGTTTAAAAAAATACTCAATGCAGCTTTCAGTCCAAATATAGGTTTTAATAAATATTTCACTAAAAATCTCACCCTAACTTACTCACCTGTCGTAGACATTGAGCAGCCAGTTGAGACACATGTCAACACAGAGTGGGATGTTGACCAGGATAGACCTCTCCTCCTCCAGCCTCTCGTACAGAGCTGTCAGGCCGTGGATCATCTCCACTACATCCATCACATGTTCCCCTTGCTGCAGCTCCTGCTCCCGAAACACTTCCACAAGGCTGCTCAGCGCCACTAAATCCACTGAAAAACACACATACATAATACTTAAACACTGAAATTGTATTTACTTATGTGCATTTGTTTGAATATGCTTTTTTAATTTGTGTGTGCTGTAAATTGAGTGTGGAAATTTGGATATTTTTCTATGTTTAAAAGCATGTGCTGGAGCCTTAACACCTACGTTCATGGCTGCACATTCGCTTTTGAACACAAACACACACACACACAGACACAGAGCAGGATCATTATCCTCACCTCCACAAATGAGAGCACAGGCGACAGCAGTGCTTATTCACCCTTTCTGCCCACTTAAGCCGTATACCAGATGTTTCAAGAGCAGTGACACAAATTTGATTTCACTCTTCTAAACTAATTTGATGGCCCATCCCTACGAGTGGAGCTAAAAGGGTGTCCGTTGATGCCAGGTATAATTAGATAGCATGAAAATGAGGTAAAACAGAGAGAGCAGATAACAGGAGTTCTCAGTGTAGGGAGGGAATCACCAAAAAATGTATTTCTGATGGGCTCTTATACAGCACTGCTCAATCATTCACAACGTGTGCAGAGAGAAAGAGTTCTACCGTTATCAAGGCAGCCTGGCAATTAAATTCTGTAACAATAGTCAACTAGTAGACCAGAGGAGGGTGAGATAAGAGAGTGCGCAAGAGAAGGAAATAGAGAGTGTCATTGAAAGAGGTTTTTCACACTGGTCTGAGCATGCTGAGTTTTTATTACAGAAACTCGGGATGTGTAAGAGAGAGAAGGTGGCAGGAAGGTTTTATGGGAAAGAAGAGAAGTGTGTGGGAAGGAAACATGAATAAGGAAAAATAGGGAAATATGAAATTGGCCACTTGCAGTGGCAAATATGGGCTCATCTGGAGTCAGTGGGCGTTAGAGCACTGCAGGTGATGGGAGATAGATGACATTAAGGAGTCGAGAGCACAAAGAGAAAGACAGAAAGGCCAGATTTTACAGCAGCTGTAGTTACAGGCAGAGAGAGCAAAGAATGTGAGGCATAAAGAAACACAAAATAATCATTAAGAGAAGCATTGGAGGAATCAGCAATAGTTAGAAAAAAGGCCAGAAAATGAGAGCAGGATACACAAGTGCTGTGACCCTAAAGAGGCACACATTCAAGCCTCAACCATGCGGCAAAAACTAATTGCCTTCTTTTTTGTAAGCCAAATTGACCAATTAATAGCTGTAATTACCTAACATGTTAACAATCCTGGCCTGGACGAAAATGAGGAAGGAATCCGGTGGTTGAGCTCTAGTGGCTCTCCAGTTTATCAATACTTTTGATTCTTGCATTTTAAAGCCAATAGTAATGGCGAAAAGCAGGGGCTATTTTTAACTACATTTCCAAATAGTGCAAAGAGGAGTGATAATTCCTTTGACAACTAAATGAAGAAATGTGCAACAGCTAATTGTTATATTTCATTCTCACAGAGAGTTTGTCACAGTGGATTACTGATGGTGCAGGATAACAGTACATCACTTAACCACCAATCCCATTGTTGCAGACAGAAAATACCATAGATGAAATACTGTACGTACATCTCAGGGCCTTCTGAACTCGCCGCAGCTTCATAGCTGTTCTGTATGCTGAGAACTTGATGTTGTTCAGGTCCGCTAATGGAGGGAGGGAGAGAGAGATAGAAAGAGATTAGAGTAAATGAAAAGATGAGAGAAAACAAACCCATCCTGCACCACTCCACCCTGCCATCGAGGAATTAGACATCACTATCTCTCCTCATGTTTATCACACTATTGCAGAAGTCATTAGGAGTGTACTGTATTGCTAATGTGTCTGTGCACATGCATGTGTGTGTCTAGCTGTGCATGTGTATGCGACAGCGTGCCTATCTCCCCTGCAAGCTTCCCATGTCAGATCCGATCAACAGTAAAACACATGATGTCGTTTAATCACAATTAATTAAAGGCTTAGCAAAAAGCAATCGCAGCGCTGGCAAATTGGGCCTTGTAGGTTAATGACAGTAGCAATGTAGTCCCTAAGGTGTTTGAAATACAGGGCCCTTAATGAGCTGTATGACAGGGACTTCAAAGCAAAAGCATGGTGCTGCTGCAGCCCGGTGGGGGTCCTGAGAAAATGCACGACTCAGAGGGTGCTTTAATTGTCTCCTTACTCACCCAGTGCTTGGTACAGTTCTGTCATCTTTGGATGGTCCCAGCACGTTGTCTGGGCTTGATGGCTGGGAGAAGAGAGAAAAAAGGAAACAAAGGCAGAAGAATTCATGAAGCAGGCAAGAACGGAGGTGCACATTTTCAGGCCAGAAAGATCAAGGTAAAAATGGAGTACAAATGAGCCGAGGGAGCAGAGACAGGCAGGTGTGGCAGAGGGTAAAACAAGGGAGATCAGAGGGTAGTAAATAGGAGAGAAGAAGAAAAACGACAGGGCAGGACAGTGCGACCATTGTTTACAAGAGATTTCAGGCCTGTAAAGTGCAAGCATACGTCAAACATGATAAAGGATTCATGCTCAGGCATCAAAGTTACGTACTGCTGCTCTGCTGGAGATATACAGCGAGTTTCGTAAAAGGCTTCACTCAGAGACACTACATGAAATCTGAACTCAAACGTACACATCAAAAACATACATTTACATCATCTCACTATACGATTAATAGCTGTGTGAAGTGAAGCAAAATAAATGAGAAACCTCAAAGCGGGAAGACTGTCAGGACCCAGGGGACTTTTAGGGCAGCACTCATCGTTTTACCAGTGCAGGCACTCATTGATTGGTACCCAATGAAGTGCTACTCAGATACTACTCCCACCCTCATTGGTACAGTAATATAGCCCATAAAGAGTTGACTAGCAGACTATGCAAGACCCACAAGGTTCTGTTGCAAATGATTAAGAAAATAAATACTCAGTCTGTAGAGGAATAAACTGAGCAAAATGCTTGCACAGTTACAAACCTGCACAGACAACACCACCATCCTCTAGGCATAAACACACACCCACACACTCATGGTTCATTGATAAAACCAGCAGCACTCTAAAGGTGAAATGGTATTGATGAGGTAAATAGATAAACAGATGAGTGCTCAGGCAAATAGGACTCACAGTAGCTCAATAGAGTTCCTCTCTGAATCATTTAGTATTTATCTGCTTTCTAATGGTAACTCCGTGCAAATGTTTGGGCAATGGAAGGATATCTGAAAATGTGAGACAGGTTGATGAAGAGTTATTCTACTCTGCTGCTGAATTTGCTTGTATAAATGACATATCAACTCACAATGATAGACCAACCTTTGCTGTCAGGAGGGAGACAATTAAAGCTTCTCAAACAATTCACACACTTCTTAGTGATGGACTAGATGGTATTTTAAGAAAGAGTATTACGGAAAGCAAGATGTGTTGAAATATGGCTGTATTTAGATCAGTTAGAGATGTGATTTAACTGGTGTCTAAGTATAAAACTGGTAGCGTTCTTCCAGACCTCTGAATTCTTGCTTACGTCTCTGATTATTATTTAATTTTTTTCAGTGATTCAAATGTGTGTCTGGTGGCTCACTGATGTTTATTTTGCTGAATGGAAAACTAACTACACCAATAGGTTGGTAACCAGGCAATAATCAATATATAGCAAAAGTTAGATGAGCGTTCCTATAGCCCATTCAGACCGGATGAAATGATTGGCTTGTCTACCTACCTATCTACCCAACTATCTAACTACCTGTAGTTTGGGTCAAACTTAACAAACATTAAAACAATTGAACCAATGTGCCCCACAGACATACAGTAGTCATACCCATTTGTCACAAATAATACACCCCCACTTTAATCCAGCCCCCTAACCTGCCATGGAAAAAGTACATACATTACCACAATGCAGACACTGACCCTGAAGTTGCACTTACTTGATGTAGTAGGGCACTTTGTTCGGGGAGATAGCACGCTCCCACGGTATCTGCACTGAACCTGCGTAAACACACAGAAACCAAATCAATTTCAAAATAGGCATGTCACGCATGAAAAGCTATTGTGCACAATGTCCCTGACAGCGTGTCCAGACAGTGTGCCCATTCAGACCTTCTTAACAAAGCTGCTCTGGTGTACAACAGGCGCAGTAAAGCCAAAGAGACAAGTCTATTGTGACGGGTTTCCACAGAGTATTGGTTTGTTTGGCATGGCCTTATACAATACAGGAGGTAGAGGAGCTGGTGAGACAGGGTGACTGTAGCGTTTTACCCGGTCCACAGGGGGTTCAGCAGAGGATCAAACAGGACGGACTGCACTAGAAGAAGCAAGAGGCAGACAATACGCACCATCACAGAGATCACAGAGAGGCATACACACAACACACACACAACACACACACACAACACACCATGTCATTATCCATTATTGGATTAGGACACGGCACGATGCAGACATGTATGTTGTTGCTCTGCATACGTGAAAAACACATACACATACAAAGACTGGAGTATAATCACAAATCCAGTGGTGGAGAAAGTACTTATTTACTTAAATAATAGTACAAATACCACAATGTATGAATTAAATATTCTAATTAATTTAATCTACAGTATTATCAGCTAAATGTATTTAAAGTATATAAAGTAAAAACATTAATCAATGCAAGAAAATGCCCCCTTTGGCTGATATATTATTACTAATGCATCAGTGAATAAGCAGCATTTTACTGCAACTGGTCAAGATAGAGATGATTTTGATTATTTTATATTCAGTTCAGTAGTTTAGTCCAAAGGGTCAAAGGATAATTCTGTTATAATCTTGTACTACGCATGGTATTTTGTAAGATTATCCAATTTTTAAATGTAAAATCTTAATTTGAAATGTAAAAAGTAATCATAACTGTCAGACAAATGTATTGTGGATAAAAAAGTACAATATCCCTCAGAAATGTAGCGTAAAATGGAAAATCCAGAAGTATTCAATTTAAATTGTATTTAAAGGTCCAATGTTTAACAGTCAGTAGGCTCTATTGGCAGAAATTGAATATAATATTTATAGGCAAGTTTATAGTAAAATAAGAATTTGTGTCGTTTTTAATCTACATAGGGAGCAGGTCATCTTCTGTGGAGTCCTCTTCATATTGAACTGCCGCGTTTCTACAGTAGCCCAAAACAGACAAACCAAACACTGGCTCTAGATAGCGCCTTTGCAGTTGTGAGTTTAATGGCCATTATAGTTCCTCCTTTGTGCTTGGTTTCAGTTGGTTGCAATCTCGTCGCCAGATGCCACTAAATCCTACACACTGGTCCTTTAAGTATAGTACTTCAGTGAATGTACTCAGTTGCATTCCACCACTGCACAAATCCATCTACCTGCAATAAGCACTATGTGCACTATACCACGTGTACTATTTGTGATATCGAAAATACTGTTAAATACTGTATATGCATGTTGCATTAAAAAAACCACACAGACATAAACCCAGACGTTCCTGCAGGATACAGTGGGCTAAGCTGGCAGTGGAGTAGTGGTATATAAGCCCCAGTGTGGCATCTCTGAGCCAGCGTGACAGCAGTAAAACTGGATGGAGTTGGCAAGGACACACAAGCACACACCACTTCAGATACACAAAGTGTGAGAGCCTTGCCACTCACAGCTTTTTCCATTTCTTCATCAGTTTAAACTAGGCAAAGTAAATCAAATTTTTCAGCCCCCCTGCTACCTCTCTGTAGTCTTTGAAGAGCAGCAGGTAAAAGAAGAGACAGCATTCACAAATATGTGTCTCTGCTCAAATGAGAGCAATGACTGTTGTGATGAACATCACTGGGGATGCTTATCACTACAGTGTGTGCCGGAACTGATGAAGACAGACAAACAAAGCCTGCCAGCTCCACCTCTAACCCAAATATGCACACAAACAAACACACACACAGGCAGTGAGTTATAACCATACCACAACAAAATGTAATACTCCTAACTTTCTTTTCATCCCCCCCACACACTCGGTGACGGTGCCTTGGCACAGGATTGGACAGATTAGTGCGACATGAGGTAACAACTTCAAATAGCAGAAGAGGACTCTTACTGGAAAGGAAGTGCTGCGATCCGGGGCCAAAGTCTCTATGTGCGTCCTGGAGCTGCTTCAGCCGCTCCTCTATCGAACCCTAAGGAAACACACATACACACATACATGTAGAGTTAAATCAAAGGGAATCATGCTGTTCATCCCTCTCCAACACAGATCCCCAAAATAGAAATGCACAGACACAAACCACCTGCTTCTCCTCCATTAGTTAACGGCAGAATATAAATTATGTCTTTTTTCTTCTGCTGCCCCTCTTGAAGGACTTTGAAAGCCTTTGAAGAGCAGCAGGTAGCAATGGAAGACAGAGATTACAAAATAATATATTTTGTTGAAAGGAGGACAACGGTTCCTTGTTGCAATGTCAGTGTGTAAAAGAGCTTGGAGGAAGAGAAGATGAAATGAGAGACTTGCAAAGCATCACATGCTCAATAACCAGGGAGACTGAGTTGACAAAATTAAGTTTGCCACTGCCTTTGTGAAAGTGTTTCACGTCAGCTATGTGTCCCACCCAATGGGATTTAGTCTGACTAATCCTGGTTTACTTGAACTGTATTGGATTTGGCACATGAATCATTGTCAGCTGGATGTTTGAAACACGTCATCAAACAATGGGAGGTAAATCCACTCGTGGTGAGGTAAGAGAAGATAAAGAGAGAAAAAGGGGAATGTGAGAAGCCTTTAAACTTCAAAGAGAAGCACGGGCAATGAGTCGTAATGTGTGAAGTTAGATATATTAAGTTAGCATTTCTCAGTGTGCACACGTCATTGCTCCCTCGCCAGAAAATAAAACAATATAATCTGGACCGGTGATTTAAATTGGCTGGGACTAATATAGAGCATTGTCAATGTGCCGTGGAGATGTTACTGCCAACTGTGCCCTGTTGTACAAACTATTTGTTGTACAGGCAATTTGGGCTGCCATAAGGAAGACAAATGACTAAATTATCCGTGATCGACAAATATTACCAAATCAAATTTGAGAATACATTTTCGCTGGCGTCAGAGCAGCCAAAATCAACAGGGCACAGGATGTTGCTGGGATTTAGCATTTATCATTTTAATTAAGAGAGAAATGGGACAGAGAAAGGAGACAAAGAAAAGATTTCTTCATTCTGCTTGCTTTCACAGTCAAAGATAGGAAGACGCCAGGTCAGTGCATCTTATTGCATTGAAAGTAATGAATGTGGATGAGAGGAGATAGCAGATCGATCGGGGGGTGGAAGCAAGGCACCTCAAAGAAGGTTGAAACACCCTGATTTTTTTCTCTAAAAACATTTGCAACACCTGTCTCTTCACTTCGTGTCACTTGGGCTCTATATCGATATCAGAAACTCTGAGAACAATCCAAGATCTAGGAGATGGATATCTGCTGGTGGCTATGGATACTAAAAGCCTTTGTAACAATGTTGATCACCAGGGGGGATTAGAGGCTCTGATTTACTTCCTGAATCAAAGACCACAGGACACACTACCTACTGTAGCACACTGTACAGGTCGAGATTTAGCAGAAATTGTCCTGTAAAATAACTTTTTCATGCAGACTCTTTTTACCTTCAATGCAAAGGGACATCAATGGTCTAATGTTCTTTTTATGAAACTCTCTCTCGATAACCCCTTCCTAAAATACATTAAGTTGTGGTGACAATCTGTATAGGAGTTCTCCTTGATAGTTCAGGCTCCAAAAGTGTGAAATTGGACTTGTGTTCCCCTCTGCATGCTTTTAACGGTCATTTAAACTTTACTATCCACGTGACCTGTATGAAAGAAAAATATTTTAATTGAAACAGAAGGAAGGTTGGCTACTGATTAGTGCAAAAATAAGACTGACAGATGTTACCATTTATATGCCAGCTCATTCCACACATTAAAAAAAAAGCTTCAGCCTATCAGTCAGTGTAGCTATGAAGTACTTCACTGTTTTTTCAAGCACAGAGCACTTGAACCTGGTCAAACGAGTATCCTAAAAATGGATCAACGCAGCCAGAAATAAATACAAGCTGTGTCTCAAATGCATAATACTTTAAAGTATGCACCACACACTGATCATAATAGTTTACTGTTTTAGCAGTTTGTGTACAGACTGATTCAACATATCATTTTATACAGACAGGAAATGATACAATACATTTATTCAATCTTATGACATAACATTTTTGTTTACAAGATATTTTTGGAGCAGTTTCACCACCCACACTTTATTTACATCTACAGTCTTCAGTACACATAATGTCTGCTTTAAGTGTACTTAATTTTGTCACCTTAGAAGTGTGAAAACAGCCAGAGTGGCGCTTTGAGCTAAATGCTACAGTAAAAATTCTCAGTTACAACACTAACATGCTGATGTTAAGCAGGTATGTTTACCATGTTAACCATCTTTGTTTAGCTTAAGAGCATGCTACAATTAGCACTGAACACAACATACAGCTGCTCATTACTTCTGCAGGTATTTAGTCATAAACCAGAGTATTCGACCCACTGAAATTGTGACGGGGGTCATCAAAGTCATCACTGATGTAATCTGCTCTCTTTGCTTCAATCTGTTCTCCCCATTAACTGTCTCAATAAAGGCTATTTCAAGGCCACAACATGAAAGCCAGAACGAGTCAGCGAGACAGTAAGAGTGCAAAGTGGATACTGGAAATTAATTTCTCAGAATTGTTGAAGGGAAAGTTAAAATCACCATGAGACGAGAGAGAGAGGAGGAGAGGCTGGAGTGGCAATTAGAACATCATGATGAGGCCACGAACGACGGGCTGTGGAGAGGGTGTCATGAAGGTTATCTAATGGGAACAGGGTGTTCTCACACGAGGCATAGTGAAGGCTGAGGGGGGTTTTGTTGTGCTTGTGGGAGCACTGCAGAGGATGCTGACGGAGCCTGAGCTTCAAAGTTGCACACTGTAGAGTTACAGTAATGCTTACTGGGTAATGCATCCATACATTCATTCATTCATTCATTCATTCATAAATGACTGATATTATTGTCATTATTATTTTTACTACAGTTACTATTATTACTATAATCACTGCTCATTGTCCCCCATCGATGTAGCTGTTGTTGTCGTCGTCATCATCTTCTTCATGTTCATCATCATCACCATCACCATCAGTCACTACTATTAGTGTAGTTGTTGCTATTGTTGTTGCTGTGCACCTTTGTCTCTGTCCTTCTGTCTTTACCTCTGTCTCTCTCTCTCTCTCTCTCTCTCTCTCCCTAAGATAATTTCTGTTATGAATTGACGCTATACAAATAAAATTTAATTGAATTGAATTGAAGTCAGCTAAGCATTGAGGGGAGGGCAAGTCGAGTTCAATGAATCCAAGGCACCTTATTCTTGAAAATTTTAAAAGGCTTTAAGTGCTGGGAATTCGTTGAAGAATTGCCCTCTCAGTGTACGTGCATGGGTTCAAGTCTATCTTTTCAATATTTATTCATCTTTTCTGCCGGATTTCTCACTTCAACTTCCAATTCAATAGATAAAAATACTGAAATAAAATAATGATCTATACAATGCCTCAACATTTAACCGTTAAACTTTCTTACAGATAGTTATACTCTAAAACTAATGAACACTATGTAAATGTTTTTTTTACTTGTCTTGTTTAAGCTTAACTCATCACAGGGAGGAATTACTGCAGAAAAACAACAGCTGTTAGAAAACAGGTCAATACTGAGACTAGTGTGTTAGAGCTGTTGGAATCTTCCTACAGTCCTGCTGTTGATCTTTTATAGTAAACAGCATCCAATCACATACAGATGGGGATGTCTATTACTTAGATATTTTATCTATTCATTTAAACAGTATAATTCAGATACCATTGTATTCACATTTCAAATTATGTGATTAAAACTTCTTTTTAGTCAATGTCCTCGCAGTGTTGTATGACAGGGACAATATGGTTGTAACCATTCTTTTCTTTTTGCGTAAGTGACCCACATTTGTTTAGTTAATTCTGACATTATGATCTGTGTATGTATATTTTCTTTTAATTGTAGAAATGAAACCACTCAACTGCACATCATCAACTACACACGACTGACAAACAGACAATTCATTTCTTTCAATGGATTCTGCTGATTGCTTCTCCTTCTATGCTCATATTAATAAAGTCAAGATTCCTGTAAAACAAGCATTATTATGAACTTGACATCTGACATTTAAATCTCTAGATTTTGATGCAAAGTTTCTAATGTTTTTTTGGACCAATGACTGGTGATTTCTTATATTTCATATTTAGATGTTGCTCATATGGATTCTTGGTCTCTTTCTGCCTTTTCAGTGTTTTGTTCTCCATGTAAAAAACGTTAAATACTAAATAGCACCTATTTGTAAAGAGGACTTTGTACAACCTAAAAGCAAGAAAGACACAAATATACCGTAGAGCAGTTCTCTCATCCATCTGACTGTACCATATCAAGCTTTTGTGGCACATGATTCAAAAAATTTAAATAGTAGTATCCATTTAGACATTTTTAACCACAGTTTTAGCAGCTCAGATAAACCTCTGTAAAGCCCCTTATATCCACCTTTATTAGCTTCATCTTATGTTAACAGACTATATAGTTAAACATTGACAACTATTGACTTTATACTGTAACAACTGACCATTTTGCAAACAATGCCTGTTTTTCTATTGTTTTTTTATAACTTTCACTGTGGTGGGTTACACAACATGAGCAAGAGTATGTTAGCTGATTCCAAATTAATTTAGATGAATGGAAATAAGTGGCTGATCTACAACAGTCGGAAAACTAAAAGCAAAACAGGATGTCCTGGTGGTGTAAATGAGATATCAAACATGTAACTGCAGTCTTTGTTTTGAGTCCAGCCAGGGATCTTTGCTTCATGTAGTCTTCTACTGTGTTTTATCTAACAAGTATTTTGATGTTACTTCCTGGACAATTGTTGATATTTTACCTGCAATGCTGGTATGAACCACTAGTTCAGTGGGTTTAATGACAAGGTTTTAATGATCCCTGTAAATAATTGTCTCATCTATCAGGTGGAAAACATTCTCTGATCACCCCTTCTTATACCAGCCTTTATCTATGCCCTAAATAACAACAGTGTCCTTCACAAGCTCAAAAAGATAAAAAGACATAAAGCAGTTGGAAGCCTGAGGTGTAGGCACCATTGGAGCCTCACATAAACCGTTAACTTGCATTAGGACAAACATTACACATGGAATCACTCTCTAATGTCTCCCTTGAATTTGACTGCTGGAAAAAGCTGCTGCTGACAATGTCAAACAGGCAACATAGACCCAGCAGTGAACTCTACCTGAAGCACTTTCCATCTGCTGTTGAGATGCTCCAAGGCGCGGGCGTTCTCCATCGACAAATGGACATCGGAGATCGCCAGCTGGTGGGCCAGATCATTGATATGCTTCATGCCCTCCTTCACCTGGGTCAGCTCCTCCTTAAATAACTGCAGGAGTACGAGAGAGAGCGAGATGAGTAGAGAGAGAGGTGGATGGTAAGGCGGGCAGTGGAATAAAAGAGAAAGAAAAAAGCTAAAATACAAAACACGGAAGTATCAGACACAGATAAACATCCAGTCTGGACAAGCTCCACTCAAATTAAATAATAACAGAAATCATTTGAAATGGGATCCAGTATTGCTGTCAGGTCTGTTTTAGAAACGATTTGGCATGAACAATATGCTAACTTAAATCAAAGTGAAAAGAATGTATAATGGTATTGGAATAGCACCAGCACTGTTTGTAGTAGATTTGATTTATGAAACCAGGGAATAAATGGATAAACCGTAACAATAGTGAAGTGTGAGGACAGCTGATGGTAGTCTGTTTATCATTTTGCATTAATCTTTTGTTTTCCTTTTTAGTGGGTGAAAACTTTTGCTGACGATTTTAACGTCTTTTTATAAACTTCACAACCTCGCTTGAAAGTAACTTGTATCTAAGTGAGGGCAAACAAAGACAAACAATAAATAAATAAATAAGACATAATTGTGACAAGAAAATGCGCCTGTGTGACATGTTTTTCACAATAATTTTTTAGCACTGATGTCTTTATCGGTCCTTATTTATTTATTTGTCGGGATAAATAAAGTATCTATCTATCTATCTATCTATCTTTATTTGACAGTGCACAGCAGAAACATTGATAAAAGATTGGAAATGTAAGGTAGTGGGCACCATTAAAAAATAGTAAGCTGTGGCTGCATGGCACAAACGTCAGCAAACTCAGCCCGAGGACAACCTGAAGTCCCATGTTTTTTTAGGGATTACTTCCCTGCATTTATTCCTATGAGTGCCATTTGAATGACAGGATGATAATTCACATAAAAAATATTTAACTCCAGCCCATTAAAATAATGTTCTAACTCAGATGTTGCTAAATCAAATTAAGGTTTCATATTTACCATGATGGAGGAGCTATTGTAGTTTGAGCAATTTGGGAGATTCACCAAATGGCTTCTGTTAATGGCAGGAAGTTAATCCCTGATATCTGCAAATGTGCTGACTGTGTTTAGACATCAGCAGAATCAACGTAAAAGAGAGAGGCAACAAAAATCACAGGCAGAAATGTAAATAATGCATCACCCTTTATCATGGGAGTGTGCAGTCTTGTGTGTCAATGTATGGGTCAGTGCATAGTGCATACTATACTATACTGAGTGAGAGCTGAAACTATGAATAAATTAGACAATCAACAGAACATTTTGATAATTGTTTGTTATTGTAATTTTTTCTAGCAAACAAAACATTTTAGGATGTTTCGATCCAATGTGAGAATTTGATGCTATTCTCAGTTTTATGTGATAGTAAACAAGTATTTCTTTGGTTTTGAAGTGTTGATTGGACAAAACTATATTTAAAGATATCACCATGGGATTTTGTTAAGCTGTGACAGGCATTTTTAACTATTTTCTGGCATTTTATAGACCAAAAGATACATTTTTTAATGGATATTGAAATTGTTGCAGCCCTATATGCGTGTATGCAAGTGTGCATAATGCGGGTTTATGATTGTGTCTTATTTGCATGCATCCATGTGTCTACTCTTATATGTGTCTGTGCGCGAATGCAAATTAGTGAGTTAGTGCATATGAGGCCAACTGACGAGCCTGCCCTAAAGACCATGCTGAACATGTGCTGGCTGTGACAGGAGTCCAAACAGTGACATGATTATTGTGAAGTGCCCTCACTTCTAATGAATAGAGCCACACAATTACAGGCAGCAGCAGCACTCGGCACTCCATAATGACTAAACCAATGACCTGTCATTTGTTTAACAGCATCCATTCAACTGAGGATTGTAACCCCTACCATCTCCACCGTGTCGGTTTGAAGTGTCCTTGTCATACTCTGTCAGATCACAGCCACTCTGACAGGAATGCGTACGCAGGCAACCAAAACAAAACATTTTAAAGCAACACAGCCTGATACCGATCTCTCACTTATTCATGAGTAACATATCACTGCTGTGTTCATGTGATAAAAAAAATAATACAGCAAAAAGCTGGATGTCACTGTTTTGATGTTTGTTTACGAAAAAGTGTCACAATGTGTGCTTTTACAGGGTTAGCCGGAGGCGATTATCTCAAAGGAGGCAATTAAGTTACTCCACAGGTAAAACCAATTTATGTCTGGGAATCACGATAATGTGTCTGCATGTACAAGAGTGTGTGTATGAGAGAGATAAAGAGAGAGAAGAGAGTGTGCATGTAATGCAGAGTGGTTTTCTGCGTGTCTACCTTGGTGGCGTCTATGTGGTCCTGCAGAGAGTCGATGAAGAGGTCTCCGACAGGCTCCCAGGCGTCTCTCACCCCCTCTGCCTGCTCCAAGGCCACGGCCAGTTCTTCCATTGCTGCCTGGATCTGAAGTAGACGCTCTAAGGTCCTCTCCATGTGTCTGTGAGGTATAATTCATTACAGTTCACTACCAGGACCATTAAAACTTTGAGCTAATGCGAGCAACAGACAAAAACAATCTATCAAAATCCACAGAGCATGCAGTCCAACATACCATTCATTCAGATGTATGCGCTGTCATTTCAGTAAGGCAATTTAAACCATCATTTCACGCTTACACACATTATTATTCTGAAAAGTAAGCTCTGAATTTTCAATGATCTAAAAGTTGATAAATGTGTTTTCCTAATTGTTTCTGTAATTAATTATATTTGCCACATTTTGTAATCAGGTTATGGTAATTATATTATGTCTAATGTATTGCTGCATGACCCTGCTATGGATCAACACACGCATACAGTCACAGGGAGAAATAACACTCTTGAGTTTCTGGCTCTCAAAGTTACAGGCATATTGCTCTTGTATAGTAAAAGGGCCCCTTTATTTCCCACAAAAATGCCTTTTTTCATCACTTATCTTTGAACAGCACTCTCATACTTTTCTCCCCTGTTACACACAGCCAAATTATTTGAAAACGGTAAAGGAGAAAAAGACAGACAACAGGTCTGACCTACACAAAGAAGAAGAAACAAATAGACCCCAAACAATGAATAAATAAATATCTTCCACCATTTGTTAGGCATATATTTGTCTTCACTCAGGAGTGGGGAAAATCAAATTTTAACTTTTAGGTAACAAAGAAAAACCAATGTGTTTTGCTTTTGAGTTTCAAGAGCACATGGACATTATTATCATGGTTATCATTTCTTTATTTAATTAAGAAATAATCACCAAACTGGAATTGCAAGTCTTTCTGAGGACAAGAAAATGCTGAAATCCTGAACAGATTTCTGACTGAAAGTCTATTTTCAAACAATGGCCTTGAAAAACATCTTATTATTAACATTATTATCATAACTGTCAAAAACAACTTTTTTTATTTACATCGTTTACTTCAATACAACAATGTAAAAATACTATAATACTAATATATCAGTAAATGGCCTGTATTCAATATCCTACTGAAATAAAAGTAAAAAGTTACAAATAAATCTGAGGGGTTGTAAGATAATTATTGGGGTAAGAAAGAAGAAAAGTAAAAAAATAAAACTTCTTTTCATATTTTAATTTTTTGGCTTTTTGTCTGATTTTTGCTGTTTTCTTGAAAGGGTTAACAAACAAAGAATGTCTGGTTTCATCTTTAGCAATGCATTATATTATATTATATTATATTATATTATATTATATTATATATTATATTATATATTATATTTATATTATATTATATTATATTATATTATATTATATTATATTATATTATATTATATGTTTTTATTCAAAGTAAAATAAGTAACTTGTAACTATAGCTGTCAGATAAATAAAGTACCTGAGTAAATTGACTTCCGATCACTGCAGAAACCTTACTTAATCTGTACAAGATATACAAATTCTAAACTGTATCTGACCTATGGCGGTCCACGCAGCGTGCCGTCAGCTTTTCCCACAGGTCACTGGCCACATTCGCCTGTTTCCACACCGAGCGGCTCACATTTAAGATCCGCCGACGTGGAGACACCTCTGCAGACGGTGGAAGAGGAAGGGGGATAAAAGAGAAAGGAAAAGGGCAAAACAAGTTGGAGACACAAGGAGAACACAGTAAGGTAGACTGCTACAGTATTCCCCAGGTAAGCATCCCATGTTCAGAGGCAGACGTTATGAAAAGGACGTGTTGTGGAGAAAAAGCCAAGCTTGCTGTATTATTGATCTGAACAGATGGTACTGTAGAGCTGGTGAGTTAGAGCTAATTGGTCCCGACCCGGACTCTTTCTCTAAACTCAGTGTGACACCAGAGAACAGATCACTGTTAATAACTACTAATGGAAGATTTCACCTGCATGGGTCCTACCAAATGAACTCTGGGGTTTAGCCCAGGATGGTTGTGAGTATGATATTTTGGCTGGCGCAGCAGTTGGCACAGAGTATGAAGGGAGCAGACCTTTTCCATCGGTCAGGGTCTCCTCTGGCTCCTGGAAGGGGTGCTGAGCCAGAAAGGCCTGGGCAGACTCCAAGACTGAGTAGATGAACGGCCCACGAGACTTGACATCCTCCATGAACGCCTGCCGGGACACAACAGAGACGGAAAGAGTGTTTCTAAGTAAAAGAGAATGAAAGACATAAGCTGCTTTCAAACTCAAGTGCTGGTTGAATTGGCACTGTAGACGAGGAAGATGAGTCCTTTAGGCTGTAATAATGACAGTACACATGGTGTGTTCAAGTGCTGAAACTATTCAAACAACAGACAATGAATTGAGAACAATTTTGATCGTCAAATAAAGTTAATCTACCGTAATTCATTTTTGTAGAAAAAAAGCCAATCATAAGCTGGTTCCACCTTCTCAAACGAGGTATTTTCTTCTTTTTTCTGCTGGGCTCTGGGAAATTTGGATGGACATTTTTCACTTTTTTTTTACATTAAACACAAATAAAAAAAAACAACAGTTAAAGAGAAAGCTCACTATGAAACACCAGCAAACACTAACAACTGCAGAGCAGCATATACAAAATGTGCAAAAACTCAAATGACACTGTGTCATTCTAGTGACTTTAAATAGGCTACCAGACAAACAGCAATGGCCAACCAGGGGGAAGGTGGTAAGAAGCAGAAGGTGTTTTGCATGAACTCATTATTCATACAAATTGGTTTATATCCATTTAAGTTGATTAAAGAAGATCTAATTTTTCTGATCAGAATCTAGCGTTCAAGGTTAGCGCTGTGCAAATTGTGAAGCCCTCAGATAAACTAGTATTTTTAGGCCCTGTAAATAAACCTGTCTTGACTTGGCTTCCATTTACCTGCAATTCTCAGTGATTCACAACACGTCCAGGCTGCTAACAAGAACAAACAGTAGGGTTTAGGTCCGACTTCCATTATTCACATTTTGCAGTGGCGTTTTCATTGGTCTAGTTCAAGTGATGTATCACCAATGACCAATGACCACCTGGGTGGAAATACCTGGTACATAAAATGTGGTGATATTTCCAGTATTTGCGAGTTGACGAGGATCACTTGAATGCTCCATTAAGCAACTGACCAGCGCGCAACAGACAATTGGATGCTGACACGCGTTTTGTCCTCCAAATTTCGAGGAGCTCTGTCAGCTCGTTATCACACATTCATTTTAGAAATCCAGCTTTGGATCATTGAGATGCAACAAATAAGTTGGAACTGGAAAATAAGCCACTTTGGTCACAAATGGCAATCACAAGATAATTGTAAATTACTCAAAAAATCAAAAAACAGATTCAGTAACATCAGTTACATAAGAAACACAGCAGAAAGAATACATGGGTTACGTATAGGATTGACTGAAGACATGCACACACACACTGGCAGCAATCAACTGGCCATATGATATTACATGGCTGTCTACTTGTGCTGAGAGGCTGCAGGCAATAGGAGACCAAATCCATTGGGAGCACTGGTCAGTTGGCCTGTTGCACAGAAGAGCCAATTAGCTGGAGAGCCCTGCTCCACAGGAGCGCTCCCTATGCAAATCACAGACGAAGAGCTCATTGTGCAAGAAGACACACACACACACACACACACACACACCTATACATACGCCTTTACTCCACCACAGAACAGATATCCAGAGCCTCCTCAGGGCCTTGAAGAAAGCCAGTGTGTCAACCTTCTTCATTCTTCCACACTAATCTTTGTTCTGTATAAAACATACTGCAGGTGTGTGAATGAATGCCAGGGATATCCCCTCTCTTCAAAGTAATTTATTTAAATTAAGCCAGCGCACTCAATCCTCTTACACTATGAAGAGATTACAATTTCAGCTGAAAATCTACATTACCAGCTGGAATTAGCAGCATTGTGCGGCGCAGCAGTGACAGTGTTTCAGTGTTTAAAAAAATAATAATAAAAAAAGCACAGGACTAGAGCCCAGCAGGCCTGATAACACCCAGCGAGCAGAGTTAAACAGAAAGCCCCCTATGAAACACCAGCAAACACTAGCCGGCGCCGAGCAAACATGCAAAAGTGTATAACAGTGGGGAGCTGTGGCATGAGATAAGATTCCCAATGCAACAGTCATGGAGAAAACCTGCTGTCTGCCTTTTCTCCTTTTCCTCTTCTCACACTGTCTCTAATCACAAACAATTTCCCTCCTCAACCTCACATCCTCGCTCCTCCTCACTTCCTTCCTTTCCTGTTCCTTCACCCTGTTTTCATCCTCTTTATTCTCTCCATCCTCTCTTTAGCTGCTTTGCTGCCCAAAGAGGAGCTGAGCCACAGATTCCCTGAGCCAGCTGTCATGTTAAAACTTTAATTCCAGCTAAATTTCACACTCAGAGGTTTCGTCTTTGGTTGAAGGAACATTAAGAGCGAAGCCTTCAGATCAGATTAAGATACATTATGCATGGGGTAGAAAAAGTCAGATGGAGAAAATGACTTTATTGACTCTGTCTAAACATGTTGATGGTGTTCCTTTACCCCCCCCCGGACGGTTCCTCTCAGCGTACTTCAGACAACACAGAGAAGGATACATTTTCATTTCATTTTGCCTTTCACATGAGGCTAAGAAGATTCTGCAGCTGCCGCTGACTCACAAAATCCCTCCAATTGCCAAGATGCTCAGTTATCCCAACACCCAAACACTTCCCACCCATCTCCCTTGCATCACCACCCCAAATACACATACAGTAACCATGCTCCCAAACCAATACACAAGCAGATGCACACACGCAAAACTGTAGCACAGTGGGAACTCAACACACACACAAAAACCCGACATCAGAATAAATCCACTTAAGATCAATAATTCACATTTCTTAAAACGCTTTAATTCTCTATAGAAAACTAGGATGCAATTTCCCTCTCTGCTTTGTCGGAAAAAGTTTTAGAGCCACCAGACGCTCGGGAAGCAGAGGCTTCTCAGATAATAAAGGCGTGCTGTGCCGGAAATGGAACATTGGAGAGGAGAGGAGAGGCCTCAGTCAAGGGATAATTGTTTGAAAAAAAACAGGAAGTGTGGCTTTAAAGCATGAAAAGCAGACAGGGTGCAGGACAGAAGGGGAGGGATGAGGAGGGACGAGAAGAAAGGAGAAATTAAGAGGGAGAGGAAGGAGGACAGAGGCGACTGCAGGATAATGTTAAGTGTTGTTCTTTCCGTCGTCCTGTTAATTGGGAGTCTGATTTCTCAGTGCACTGGTCGAGGTGGGAGTTGGAGTGGGGTTAAGCGGGAGCCACAAACCTCTCACTGTCAATACAATTCTCCCTTTAGAGACAGAGACACTGCACCAACTGACAGCACAGAAAATTGGAAAGAGGGTGGAAAGGGAAACT